AGTAGTTATTAAAATGTAAAAGAAATTACATATTCATTTAATAAATAACGAAAAATAATTAAATTTTGTTGTTTATTTTATTTTTTTTCACATAAATTTTTTTTGAAAATATATTAGGAATGTGTTAAATGTTATTTATATGTGAAGTAAGCTTTATAGGAATAGTTAGGCTATATTATAGTTTTTAGTGTGTAAAAGTAGGTGTTTTTTTTGCTGTAAATAGTTTTTATATCGTAGGTCAAAACTTGATATAATTCTATATTTATAGTATTTATATTTGTATTAAACTATTTATCAATTTGAAAATAACCTTAATTCACTTAATATTCGTTGTTTAAGTTTCATTAGATAGGTTTTTTATATGGTTTTTTGTAAGTTTGAGTTTTGTTCATAAATGATGTGGCATTTTTATCTACGGCATCATCGACTGTGGGAATCCATTCGCCGGAGTCTGGAATCGGTGGTGAAGAATGTTTTCAATGAAATTATAGTACTTATTAAAGTGTAAGAGAAATTACATATTCATTTCATAAATAACACAAATAATTAATTTTTGTGGTTTTTTTCATTTTATCTCACATACAAATTTTTTGAAAATATATATTAGGAAATATGTGCAATGATTTAACTTTTTGAGCTCGTAATATATATTATTCAAGTCTCATTAAGCCATCCACATAGGCAGCCGCGTGGGATTCACTTTTTATTTTTGTTTTTGTTTTTGTTTTTTGGTCTGTTTGTTTTTGGATTTATTTTTTATTATTTTTGGGTTGAGCTGTATTATAATAGAATATTTTAAGGTTCTTTAAGCCATCCCTGTAGGCAACCGCGTGAGATTTGCTTCTTTTTTTTTATTGTTCGTTTTTTGGTCCATTTTTAACTATTTTTGGGTTTGAACTTGTTAACCTTTAGAATTTATCCAACTATATTCATTTCATAATAACGAACATAATTAATTTTTGTTGTTTTTTTTTATTTTATTTCACATACAAATTTTTTGAAAATATATATTAGGAAATATGTGCAATGATTTAACTTTTTGAGCTCGTAATCTATATTATTCAAGTCTCATTAAGCCATCCACATAGGCAGCCGCGTGAGATTCACTTTTTGTTTTTGTTTTTTGGTCTGTTCGTTTTTGGATTCATTTTTTATTATTTTTTGGTTGAGTTGTATTATAATAGGATATTTTAAGGCTCTTTAAGCCATCCGTGTAGGCAACCGCGTGAGATTTGCTTTTTGTTTTTTGTTTTTTTATTGTTCATTTTTGGATACATTTTTAACTATTTTTGGGTTTGAACTTGTTAACCTTTAGGGTTTATCCAACTATTTTGATTTTTAAAACAATAAGCCCAAAAAAACATAAAAACCTTATAAACAAAAAGTTCATATGATAATAAGCCAAATAAAAAAAATCAAAAATCTATATTATAATAGTACACTTTCTAGGCTCCACAACGCGCCTCGTCAGCAATTTTTTGGGTCCCGTAGGTATTTTTTAAAAACCCATAATCTTAGTAAGATGATTTAGAACAATGAAATACACTTTAGCCCAGTGGTATAAGGTGTCTAATTAAGTATGTAAGATCGTGGGTTCAAACCACGCAACTATCATGTATTTTTGATTTTTTTTATTTGGCTTGTTAACCTTTAGGGTTTATCCAACTATTTTGATCTTTAAAACAATAAGCCCAAAAAAAACATAAAAACCTTATAAACAAAAAGTCCATATGATAATAAGCCAAATAAAAAAAATCAAAAATACATGATAGTTGCATGGTTTGAACCCACGATCTTGCATACTTAATTAGAAACCTTATGCCACTGGGCTAAAGTGTATTTGATTGTTCTAAATCATCGTACCAAGATTATGGGTTTTTAAAAAATACCTACGGGACCCACAAAATTGCTGACGTGGCGCTTTGTGGAGCCTAGAAAGTGTACTATTATAATATAGACTAGGTTCATAGCTCCGCGCCGGTGACAGTGATGATGCGTTATGATGTTTTATAGATGGGATTTTGTCATATTTTTGGATATTTTTTTGTTTGGGGTTTAACCGAAAATCCGATTGAATTGAGTTGGTATATGAATGAGTGAAAATTCATATGCTTTGAAATATTCCTATATTATTTTAGTAATTATTTTCTCGAATATTTGTGTTATTAGTGCTTTTATGTCTAGGATGAGTGATTTATTATGTTGTTATTGTCTAATTTATAGGTTGGTAGTATATTATTGTTAAATAGTGAATTAGCATTTAAAAAAATTAAGATTTTGTTAAATTATACAAAGAAATATAGTTTAATGGATTGAAAAGAAAAAATGAAACATGTTTGTTAAGGGGTTGTGTGGAATGTTTAGAGATCAATATTTATTAGTGAGTAAAGACCTGTTTTTATTTACAGATAAGAGTGTTTGATGAATTTATATGTGTTCGTATTTCTAAATTTTTTTACGATTTAATTGGATCTTAATGTTATTAGTGAGTTAATAACCATAGGTAACCAAATATAGGTATTTGTTACTATACAACTATAATATGGGAACGAAAAAGAAATAATTTTGTTATTCGGAAAGAAATATAGTTTGTTGTTTTCAATGTGCCATGACATGTTTTGAAAATATATAATTGTAATTTAATAAATGCTAAAGCTTCGTATAATTATATACATGTATGACTAAGATAGTTATTTTTTTATATTTGTCAAAAATATTTTGTGGTAGTTTAAAAATGGGAATGGTAGATTAAAAAGTTTAGTCGTATAGGATTATATTCTAACACAATGAAAATGTGGTAGCTGGGTTTTAAATGATTGGACTTGAAATTTGATGAGTCTTGAGTCTCAATTTAGATTTGAAACTGGATTGTTTACTCGCCCTTTTTGTTTCTCCTCGTCATCTTCAGTAGTGTGACAAGCTCTTGTGATTCTTGGTCTGATTGTGTTTTTAATGTGTCATTTTGTGAAATTATGGTTTTTCTATAGCAACATGGAAGAGAGATTAGCTCACCTTACTTAAGGCTCCATCGCATTCCTTACTCAGTGAACCTCTGTTGATTCGGTGTTCTCGGAACCTGCAATAAGAAGGTTTGAATTTGTTGTATGACTTTATTTCTATTATTATTAGTTTCGTTTACTAAAACCCATACTGAATGATTTGAGGTTCTATATGTTAATTTGGTTGGTATGGCGTATGTTTACTTTAACATGACAGAGAGACTTGAAGGCTGCATGACGGATGCCGGTGACGCTAGTTTTAGGAACCGGAGAAGGAGAGAGAGACATTTTCTAGAAGATGGTTAAAGTTAAGAGGAATAGATAAGTTTTTTGGAGATGTACATAGGGTTCATCAAAGATGAGAATCATATATATATGATTTACAGAGAGGCTAGAAATCAGGAACATTTATGACCAAGTGATGTAAGATGGGGAGATGAAAAGTTCACCGGTGAAAAAAATAGATTACGAACAGACACACGGCGCAGCTCTATAACTCAGACCTGTATAAGACGATGGTGAAAGGAATCTTAACTCATTTTAAACATTAACGGTTTACAATATGGAAAAATTGTAACTGTTGTAAACTTGAGGATTTTTTCATATAATATGATGAAACCCAATTAAAAATGAAACTCATAATACACTTCCAGGCCCGAACTTTAAAGGAGGCCATAGATGTAAAGACTTCCGGCTAAATATATATTAGTTTCGGCCATCAATGTACAAGTTATCTTGTAGTTTAGTGGTATGAATGTTAGTGTTTGTTTCTTAATAACCCGGGTTCAAATCATATGTTTGACATTTTTTCACATTTTTTAAAGTGGGACCCACCTAATGCTGATGTGGTGCGTTGAGGAGTCTTGAAACTCAACTATTATAATATAGATTCTTATAAATAATATTTTTTAAAAAAATTAAATTCTTCAGAAAACTACATTGAGACAAACTATCTCTCAACAAGCTTATATTTCTGCCCCTTTCGCTACTTATTAAAATATATTTTGATTATCCACTTGAAATCATAGCTAATATGTGATGTTTCAACCAGATGGCAGGTATATACGAAATGACTAATGCAATATTTAGATTATTACTGCGTTAAAAATTTAATATATAAAAAAGTTTGGCCATGTTTTGCAATTAGTATACAAAATGAAAGATTTAATACAAATCACTTTCCTAAGTCTTCTTTAAAACATCACTTTCCTGCGTGGCCTCTTGAATCCATACACTAAATGTGAAAATCATAAGAATCATGCCAAAACGACAGATCCAACACATGTTTGAGTTCTTTTAGAAACCCATGCTTACGTTACATACACAATCGATGTAATTGTATATATCATGAAAAAGGAAGACCCCTAAAATCGAATTTTTACCACCTAATTTTAAGTATCACCACTTCATGGTGCGCATACACGTGTTTCTATATATTACTATGTGACTATGTTGAAGTCTTGGCCATACATGTTCATAACCAATTTAAATGAGCTTTTAGCCAGCCAATACTCTCCACGTTGCATACACATTGCCATTTTGCCCATGACTATTTACACCACATTTCAGGTTTTTGCCGTTGGTGTAAAGATAAATTTTTACCCAGGGTGAAAAAAAAATCGATGTTTCAACTTTACTTTTGCAGATTTTCTACTCATAACTTCCAAATACTAATTAACGAGTAATCACTTTACATCACTGTCAAGGTCATTATTTGTATTACAAAAGTCCAGGTAAAATCGAACATAAATACATAATGGAATACACTAGTAAGCAGAAACTTATTAGTTTATTTTCTTAAAGTAAGTTTGTCAGTCACAATATGGAAAACAAAGGATATTATTGATACAAATTCGTTTAAGAATTCTAAAATAAAATTCCGTTTTGAAAACCCGTGAGCCTCTCTACATTCTTGGACTGCCTCCTTATTTAAATCCCTTCAAAAACCTTCTCTTCTTCAACTTAAACCAAAAATAAAAAACTTAGACAGAGAAAGAAAAAATGATAATGACAAGAAGTCTAAGGCTGGGAAGCATCACAATGATAATGCTAATGGCGGTTTTGGTCTGGTCCATAACTCTAGAGACCTGCATTGCTAGAAGAGGAAGACATTGGAGACATAGCCACCGAAGCTCCTCTGACTTGTCTGATTCCTTGTCAAGCAAGAAACCAAAAAGCCATAGTCACCACAGCTCTCATAACAACAACCATAATCATCACCACAAGTCTAAACCTAAACCAAAGCTGAAAACGCCGCCAAAAAGTGACCACAAGAAATCTCCGGTGGTTTCACGGCCACCAAAAGTCCAACCACCGTCTCTTCCGCCGTCAAAGGGATCCAAAGTTTTCAATGTGATGGATTTTGGCGCAAAGGGTGATGGCAAATGTGATGACACTAAGGTAAAAAAAAACCAAAATTATCTCATTAATTTCGTAATCCATATGTAGTTTCAATCCTAGGGTTGTTTTAATATATTTATTAGTTCATTTTTTTTCTATTTTGTTTTCATAAAAAAATTGGAAAAAATAAATAAAGTACAATTGAGAGAACACTGAGACAGAACAACAATAAAAAAACAGAGCTAAAGAAACAGGTTTCTCTGTCTGTGAAGTCACTTTAGAATTTTTTAATATTTTGTTTTTATCTTAAATGTTATAACTTGCGCCAAAAGAAAAAAGACAAACGAATATAAAGTGACAACAGAAATAACAGATTACAAATGGGACCACACATCACAAAGTAATCATTATTATAACTGTGATTAAGAGAGTTTCATAAACGTTTACAGGCGTTTGAAGCGGCTTGGGCAGCTGCTTGCAAAGTTGAAGCATCGATGATGATCATACCACCTGAGTACACTTTCCTTGTCGGTCCAATCTCATTCTCTGGTCCTTATTGTCAAGCTAACATTGTGTTTCAGGTGAGAATTAATCTTTCGAAACTAAAAAGTATACATATATATTTGAGTAAAGAATCTAAAGTTAATGCCCTGTTGTAGCTTGATGGGACGATCATAGCTCCTACGGATTCAAAATCATGGGGAAAAGGGTTAATGTGGTGGATTGATTTCACAAAGCTAAAAGGAATCAAAGTACAAGGGAAAGGTGTGATTGATGGAAGAGGCTCAGGTTGGTGGCAACAAGATTACCCTTTCATTGATGGTGAAACCAAGCTCATCGTTCCCTTGAACAACTCTGTTAACCATAACCCTCCAATGCCTGTATGTTTGTCGTCTTCTTCTTCTTTCTTCTTCAGCACGTCTCATTTTCATCAAAGATCAAACCCTTTTTGTTTCACGTTAACAGGAACGAAGTGAGCTTGATTGGAAAATGCCAAGCATAAAACCAACGGTGAGAAAGAGTTTTAGGATTGTGAAAGTTGTAGGCTCATTGGTGTTTGTTTACTGATATGTGTTTCTTGTTTATCAAGGCACTGAGATTCTACGGGAGTGTTGGCGTGGAAGTGTCTGGTATAACGATCCAAAACAGTCCTCAATGTCACCTCAAGTTTGATAACTGCGTCGACGTTTTGGTGCATGACATGGTTGTTAATTCACCTGGTGACAGTCCAAACACCGATGGGATTCACCTCCAGAACACCAGAGATGTTCTCATTCACAGCTCAACACTCGCTTGCGGTATGAATCTTGAATTCTTGAACTATGTATTCCTGAATCTTGAACAAATCTTGAATCTTGAATCTTGAATAATCTGAATGTTAGACTAATGGTGTCTCCTCTCTACGTGTGTGTGTTTGTGCAGGAGATGACTGTATCTCAATCCAAACAGGTTGCTCAAATGTATACATACACAACATAAACTGTGGACCAGGTCACGGCATCAGCATAGGTAGTCTCGGCAAAGACAGCACAAAAGCCTGCGTCTCAAACATAACAGTTCGAGACGTGGCTATGCACAACACGATGACAGGTGTCAGGATCAAGACATGGCAAGGAGGAGTAGGATCAGTGAAAGGGATACTCTTCTCAAACATTCAACTCAACGAAGTCCAGCTTCCAATAGTGATAGACCAATTCTACTGTGACCATACCACATGTAAGAACCAGACATCAGCTGTTGCAGTTGAAGGAGTGACTTATGAGAAGATAAAAGGCACTTATACCGTGAAACCGGTTCATTTCGCATGCAGTGATAACTTCCCTTGTGTAGATGTGCAGTTATCTGGAATTGAGCTTAGGCCTGTTCAAGAACGGTATCATATGTATGATCCTTTTTGTTGGCAGACATTTGGTGAGCTCAATAGTCCTACTCTTCCTCCTATTGGTTGTTTACAGATTGGGAAGCCTGCTAGAAACAGAGTTCAGTCTGATCATGATGTATGTTGATGGTTCTTGTTAAAGAGTATGAACAATGTAGATTAATGTATATCTATCTTTAGCCTAAAAGCTCTACTACTACTAGTTCTTGTTGAAAGTGGAATGAGACAAATATTTAATGAATTAATTAGAGACATAGTAAGTTGGAAATATTGTTTGCAGTATTGTTCTGAAATGAGCTAGAGGTTGAATAAAAAGATACTGTAGATTAACTTTTGTAACAAAATGGATTTAAAAAAGCAAAAACCCATCACATGGAGCTGATTGTTATGTTGATATTTTGCAAGTTTTGATATAGTCTCAACATATAACTTGTCACCAAAAAAGCTTGTGAGAATCAGACCAAAGCTGTAACTTGTGGCTGAAGCAAACAAAACATTTGAACCCTTTCATGTGGTTGGGTATGTACATTGTTTGACAGACTCTGCATCTGAAGTTATCATCATATCCAGCAGCAAATCTCTCAGATCTCCAGGTGTAGTTCCGTCTTTGTTCGCCTAAAAGATGCAAATATTTATCAGAATTCAGGAATCTATGACCGAGTAAATGAGATGTAAACAAGGTACCTTGACACTGAGAATGGTCATGACTCTGAGATCGAGTCTGGTGAAATTGACATGGATGATCTCAAGTCCACAAGAATCTACAGCCTCTATCAACCTCTTGAATCCATCTCTCTTATGCTCCTGCGCAATACGAATCAAGAAATCTCGTTCACCGGTCTCATGGACTTCAAGATTCACCTGAAAGAGACCATAAACCAAATTAAGGAGTTTGATATTATGGATATGATCTTAAGTCTCTATAGTATAAACCTCATTGTTCACATTCTTGTTGAGTTTAGAGGAAACTTTTGCAGCTACTTGATTAGCCATCACAGCTTCTTCATCTGCTCTGCATTCAATCTCGTTGATTCCATTCAGTTCATCTTCAAGTTTCTGCTTCTCCACTAGCAGTTCATTGATGTAATCAACCGCATCACTAATAGTTCCATTTTTATTCATCTGCATAGCATAATCAAAATGAATAATCCAATCAACAAGGGATGTGATTATCTCAAGAAACCGAAATAAGTTTCAATCACCTTTGTAATTACAGGGACTATGGCTCTAAGAGCATAGATTCTCTGATTAATCCTCTCTCTTCTTTTTCTCTCTGAATGAAGATTCTTTGATTTGAAGTTATCTTCTGTCAGCTTCTTACTACCTTTGACGTCTATGGTGTCTTGCAACACCACATCCTCTTCCTTGGTCATTACCAAACCCGGTGCTTGTTCCCCACATGGGAGTGTTTGTTCAGGGAATGGTTCAAAGAAGGCGTTACAACGCGTTATGATCAGATCAACCATGCTTTCATCAACTGGTTTCTGAAATATACAAAAATAGAGAATGCATTTATGAGGTTACTACCAAACAATGTGACCTACTTCTAATGTTATATGCTAATATATTTACCATTATGAATGAGAAAAGCTCAACTAGACCATCACGCACAGGGACAAGAACTCGTGTTCTGAACATGTCCTGCAAACAAATAAAAAAACATCGAGATCAGATTGTTCTTATGATAAACCTAAGTGTTTGTTTTACCTGTTTAGATCCTGGACCTGAATTAACCAACCATTTGGGAGACTGTGACATGACTACTTCTCCATGAATCCTGTAAAATATGAAGGAGCTTTGTATCATTTTAGAAAAAAAAACTTATATAAGTCTTGAGGTTTGCATAGATGAAAACATACCCGGGATAGAGAGGGATGAAGAGAGGAAAACGAGAAAGAGATTCACAAGCAAGTGTTCTTATATGATGCTTGTTGTGTTCATCTCTGCAAACAGAGCTCATCTGTTGTCTCTCTTCTTCCACATCTTCATGCTTAATGTTCTTATCAATATAACTACCACTACAGCAGCATCCCACCCATTCAATAAACCTAAAGGCATAACAATTATGGCAGATTTAGAAATAAGACCAAGAACAGACATGAATATCAAGATTTTGGTAGTTATTAAAGGCAAAACACTCAGAAACCAATCAAACTTAAACACAAATCAGCATGGAATCTAAAAAGACAATGAGGCAGAAGACTCAAATTAGAGAGTGTTTACCTAGAAGGATCATCACCGAGTTTCCAGATAACACAAAAGTCCCAATCTCTGGAATCAACCAAAGGTCGAAGAAACTCCTTCACTCTCTCAACACCTCTCATCATTTCCCTCTCTCTCTCACTCACTCTCTAACTCTTTCCACTGCTAAAACAAAAAGCCTGAACTTCTGTGAACTCTTTTGTTCTTTACTTATAAACTGGTGCAAGGAGAGAGACAGAGATCTGTTTTTTTTTGGCATATACAGAGCAGTTACAGTGTCAAATCAAAATCATAACGCGAATATACGATCGTACAGGACAATACTAACCAACTTCACTTTTTGAATTAAAACCCCAGAGAGAGAGAGAGAGAGAGAGAAGGATAAGAGAGTTGAATAGTACCTACATTACGTGACAGAGATGACTGACATCTGTAGAAAGAGACAGAAAGAGAGTTTTACCCTGACTGTAAGGAGAAACGGCCATAAAAGGACTTACAGTATATTGGTTTTGATAGCTACATTTAACAATATGAAATGATTAACCTTTTTTGTTTCTTCACTTTTATATAATCATCATCTCTACTTTTTTTTACTTTAAGTAGAAACAGAGCTTTACTACTTTAAAAAAATGACTGAATCTTTGATTCTGTTTTTGTACTTCAATGGAATCAAACAAAAATAAGATAATTAATTTTATACCAAGATTAAATTGCATTTAACAATGCTAAAGCTTGTGATTACTGTTATTTATTTGACATCTTTGGTATAATCAGAGTGGTTACATAATCTGCAATCCACCAAAACATATTCTCCAAATGCTCATGAATGGCCTAAGGTTAACTTATAAAAGTTCATGAATGGCAAAAGCACAACAACAACATACAGCAACAGTCACTCAAAAAAAATCGAGGGGTGTAAAATATAATAGTTAAAAGTTATAAGGCTAATCGAAAATGTTTACAAAACAGAAGGGTCTTACATTTATCCAAGATTTTAAAAGGGCATGACACGTGTACAGTTCTTGGATCAACGGTTAGTATTTAATACATGAGTTTTAAGACAAAACCACTGCGTCGTGTCTTTGTGTTCATCGCCTCCGACAGATCTAATCACGAAGTCGTCTCCTCTCCGAAACCAAAACGTAAGTGAATTACTTTTTTTTCCCTGTGATTTGATTAGCTTTGAATCTGTTCGTAGACTTGTGTAATGGATATGTTTGGTTAGAAGAATGAAACTTTTTTTTTTATATAAATTGGATATTGAATGTTTTCATCTCTGTCACTGTAACTCATGTGGATTTAGAATTGCTTTAAAAAAATGTTTTGATAGCATTGTGGGGGTTTTGATGATTCGTTGCTTGTGAATTGAATTGTTGTGAGTGCTGATCCGAGCAAAGTTTCTAATTTATAGGTTTGTAAATGGCTGAGGAGGGATCACCTGCTTTGAGGAAGCCTGTGTTCACCAAAGTTAATGAGCTGAGACCAGGAACCAATGGTCACTCATTGAACGTGAAAGTTATCAGCACGAAGACGGTGATGCAGAGAGGAGGAGGAGGAGGAGGTCGTCCCAGTGGTCCTCAGGCTCGTCAGATGCGTATTGCTGAATGTCTTGTTGGTGATGAGACTGGTATCATTATCTTCACTGCCAGAAACGATCAAGGTTTGAATACTTAAATTCATATAAGAAAACACAGATTGTATGTTTTATGGAATGTTCTAAGTGTTTCTCTGGTGATTTTACAGATTATCTGATTTATTTTATACATTCATTTTTTGATATCAGTGGATTTGATGAAAGAAGGCAAGATAGTGACGCTGCGCAATGCGAAGATTGACATGTACAAGGGATCTATGAGGCTTGCAGTTGATAAATGGGGCCGTGTTGAAGTGGAAGAGGAGCCAACAGACATCACTGTTAAGGAAGATAACAATCTTTCACTCATTGAGTATGAGCTTGTGAGCGTCGAAGCTTGATTTTGGTTCAGCCAGCAACCAGAAAGAAAGCAGAGTGTGATTCAGAAGTTAGATTCTTCTTTAGTTGTAGAAGCAATATCAGCTTCTCTCTCTCTCTCTGCTTTGAGTTTTTGCGTGTATCAGAATTTGCAGGTGGGTTTGTTATGAAAATCAGGTTGCAGGTTTTTTATTCTATGTAGATTGAGATTCTCTCTTAAAATGCCATGTTTATTATTCGCTTGTTTTAGTTTTGGTTTCCTTGTAGCACAAAAAGAGAAGAAGATAACTTTTTTTTTTATTACATCGACTATCACTTTGGTCCAATAAGTCTAAAACAACCATTCAATTTATGGCTCCTTTGAGTGATCTTGTCTCCTCTGAGCTATCTATCATGGCTCTTTGTGAGCGACCCTAGCTTTCATAAGCAACATAAGTCCATATCCTAAGTTACATGTTGTGTATATTTACATATTTACGAATATATTCTTATGGTAGGTACATATTTATCTTGCCTTACATGAAAAGTTATCATAACATTACATTCTGATGATTATGACCTAAAAGGTGCTACAATATTCTTGCTTGTACACGTGTTAACAAGATAACAAACCAGAGATCATGGTATATAATTGATTTATATACTTAATTATTATGAAAATCAGCTACGTTATTAGGCTTAATTATATTAGACCATGAAAGGCAAATTATGCAAAATACTAATCAATCCCGAATTCCCAATCCGAAGTCGTGAAAAGATGACGAAGGGATCCATCTTTGCTAAGGTTAGCGTATCGGAACAGATCGTTCATCTGATTTGTGGTTATATTTTTTTTTATTTTTACGATAATCTTTCATTGTTGAGGATTTTATATTTCGTTAAACGATACAAAAACACTTTTGCAGTTATCGGGGTTATCTGGGAATCCAAACTGGTCTTCCGTGGGTATGAACTCATTTTCCTCTTCATAAGCAACATAACTCCATATCCTAAATTACATGTTGTGTATATTTACATATTTACGAATATATTCTTATGGTAGGTACATATTTATCTTGCCTTACATGAAAAGTTATCATAACATTACATTCTGATGATTATGACCTAAAAGGTGCTACAATATTCTTGCTTGTACACGTGTTAACAAGATAGCGAACCAGAGATCATGGTATATAATTGATTTATATACTTAATTATTATGAAAATCAGCTACGTTATTAGGCTTAATTATATTAGACCATGAAAGGCAAATTATGCAAAATACTAATCAATCCCGAATTCCCAATCCGAAGTCGTGAAAAGATGACGAAGAGATCCATCTTTGCTAAGGTTAGCGTATCGGAACAGATCGTTCATCTGATTTGTGGTTATATTTTTTTTTATTTTTACGATAATCTTTCATTGTTGAGGATTTTATATTTCGTTAAACGATACAAAAACACTTTTGCAGTTATCGGGGTTATCTGGGAATCCAAACTGGTCTTCCGTGGGTATGAACTCATTTTCCTCTTCATAAGCAACATAAGTCCATATCCTAAGTTACATGTTGTGTATATTTACATATTTACGAATATATTCTTATGGTAGGTACATATTTATCTTGCCTTACATGAAAAGTTATCATAACATTACATTCTGATGATTATGACCTAAAAGGTGCTACAATATTCTTGCTTGTACACGTGTTAACAAGATAGCGAACCAGAGATCATGGTATATAATTGATTTATATACTTAATTATTATGAAAATCAGCTACGTTATTAGGCTTAATTATATTAGACCATGAAAGGCAAATTATGCAAAATACTAATCAATCCCGAATTCCCAATCCGAAGTCGTGAAAAGATGACGAAGGGATCCATCTTTGCTAAGGTTAGCGTATCGGAACAGATCGTTCATCTGATTTGTTGTTATATTTTTTTTTATTTTTACGATAATCTTTCATTGTTGAGGATTTTATATTTCGTTAAACGATACAAAAACACTTTTGCAGTTATCGGGGTACTCTTCTCAAACATTCAACTCAACGAAGTCCAGCTTCCAATAGTGATAGACCAATTCTACTGTGACCATACCACATGTAAGAACCAAACATCAGCTGTTGCGGTTGAAGGAGTGACTTATGAGAAGATAAAAGGAACTTATACCGTGAAACCGGTTCATTTCGCATGCAGTGATAACTTCCCTTGTGTAGATGTGCAGTTATCTGGAATTGAGCTTAGGCCTGTTAAAGAACGGTATCATATGTATGATCCTTTTTGTTGGCAGACGTTTGGTGAGCTCAATAGTCCTACTCTTCCTCCTATTGATTGTTTGCAGATTGGGAAGCCTGCTAGAAACAGAGTTCAGTCTGATCATGATGTATGTTGATGGTTCTTGTTAAAGAGTGTGAACAATGTAGATTAATGTATATCTATCTTTAGCCTAAAAGCTCTATTACTAGTAGTACCACTGCATACGAGTTACTGTTTAGTTCAAAATTAATAAATTTTCTATACTTATTGTTGAAAGTGGGGATCAGATATTTACTGATTTTATAAGAAGTAAAGTAGTTGAGATCACAGAGCTGCAGCATGATATGGACTAGAGACGTTGAATAAAAAGATAATGTAGATAAATTTATGCAACAAAATGGATTTAAAAAAGCCAAAATCCATCACATGGATCTGATTGTTATGTTGATCTTTTTCCACTTCTTGATATAGTCTCAACACATAAACTTGTCACCAAAAAAAAACTTGTGAGAATCAGACCAAAGCTGCAACTTGTGGCTGAAGCAAACAAAACATTTGAACACTTTCATTTGGTTGGGTATGTACATTGTTTTACAGACTCTGCATCTGAAGTTATCATCATCTTGAACAGAAAATCTCTCAGATCTTCATGTGAAATTCCATCTTTGTTCGCCTAAAAGATGTAATTATTTATCAGATTTGCAGAATCTGTGACAGAGTAAATGAGATGTAAACAAGTTACCTTAACACTGAGAATGGTCATGACTCTGAGATCGAGTCTGGTGAAATTGACGTCTATAATCTCAAGTCCACAAGAATCTACAGCCTCTATCAACCTCTTGAATCCATCTCGTTTATGCTCCTGCGTAACACGAATCAAGAAATCTCCCTTACCAGTCTCATGGACTTCAAGATTCACCTGAAAGAGACCATAAACCAAATTAAGGAGTTTCATACATGGATATGATCTTAACTCTCTATATTAGATTATACCTCGTTGTACACTTTCTTGGTGACTTTAGAGGAAAATTTCTCAGCTTCTGGATTAGCTATCAGAGCTTCTTCCTCTGCTCTACATTCTATCTCGTTGATTCCATTCAGCTCATCTTCAAGTTTCTGCTTCTCTACTAGCAATTCATTGATGTAATCAACCGCATCACTAATAGTTCCATTTTTATTCATCTGCATAGCATAAATCAAAATGAATAATCAATCAACAAGAGATGTGATCACAAGAGTGATCAAAGAACCAAACCTTTGTAATAACAGGGACTATGGCTCTAAGAGCATAGATTCTCTGATTAATCCTCTCTCTTCTTTTTCTCTCTGAATGAAGATTCTTTGATTTGAAGTTATCTTCTGTCAGCTTCTTACTACCTTTGACGTCGATGGTGTCTTGCAACACCACATCCTCTTCCTTGGTCATTACCAAACCCGGTCCTTGTTCCCCAAATGGAAGTGTTTGTTCAGGGAATTGTTCAAAGAAGGCGTTACAACGCGTTATGATCAAATCAACCATGCTTTCATCAACTGGTTTCTGAAACAGCCATAAAAGAGAGAAAGCATGTTATGAAGTTATCATCAAATAATATGACCTACTTCTAATGTAAATAAGTATTTGGTATATATTTGTTATAACTTAAAATAAAAATTAAATCACAAATATTTGGTATATATTTGAATGATTAATGTAAATAAGTAAATATATCATATTAAATAATTAATCAAGTGGTTCTACGTAGAGTTGTTTATAGTAGATGAAAAATGACTCCATTTTAATATAGTAGATGCATGTATGTACCCGTTGTATCATCTAAGTTCATGGTAAAGGCTAGGGGTGGCGTTCGAATACCCATTCGGGTTCGGTTTGGATCTATTTGGGTTTCGAGTTTTCGGGGTCAAAGATAGATTCGGTTTGGATTCAGTTCAGATCTTTGCGGGTTCGGTTTAGATTCGGATAACCTTTAAATTATTTATAGAATTTTAAAATTCATTATACACTTTATATTTACCAAAATCTATAAAAAATAATATATTACATAACATATAAATTGGTTTGGTTTCAATATTTGGATAAAAAAAATGATCGATATATCAAATATTTTTTTATGTTTTGAGTATACTTTAGCTATTTTAAACATTTATTTTTTACTATTTGTATATATTTTCAAGTATTTAGATAGTTTACAAGTATCTCTGATATTTTAGATGTTTTTAAATAGAGATTAAATCTACAAATAATTAATATATTAGGTATATAAATCTATTTTGGATATATTTGGATTTCATTATACACTTTAAATTTACCAAAATCTATAAAAAAAAATATATATTACATTAATTTTAATACAAAAAACCAAAAGAAATTTAATCTCAACCCCTTGAAAGATTTGAATTAGAGAACAGGGGTTTGAGAGAGATTGGTAAATAACTAAATTCAAAATATAGGATAAATAAATGTTTTTATTTTGTAAGATTAAAAGCATCAAATAAAACCCACTGCAAATAGAACGTACGACAACAATCAGTTTATGGGCCGAATATAATTGAAAGGGCCTTAGAAACCGACCCGGCCCGTCGACACAGAGATCATATTCTGACCTCTCTCGGGAAAGTTATTTCTTTCCTTTGCCAGTGAGCGAAACCCTAATTCCCAATCCGAAGTCGTGAAAAGATGACGAAGGGATCCATCTTTGCTAAGGTTAGCGAAAAGGAACAGATCGTTCATCTGATTTGTTGTTATTTTTTTTTTTTCGATAATCGTTCATCTGATTTCTGTTGATTTTGAGGATTTTGCAGTTATCGGGGTTATCTGGGAATCCAAACTGGAATTCCGTGGGTATGAACTCATTTTCCTCTTTATTAGTTGTTGCTTGCGATTACTGACAAGATTGTTGTTTGTGTGTTGAAGCGGTTACCAAGGAGCAGGCAGGTCTGATTGTGCGGGGGGTTGTTGTGAAAGGGATAATAGGCTACTTTGGATACGAGCTTGGTATGTTCATGTTGTGGAGAAATTTGGTGCTAGTAGGTAGTTTTTTAACAAAGAGTTTTAATTGTTTGACTCTCCTTATCAGGTACCATGATGTTCTCCAATGCCCCTAAAATAGAACGATATGAAGTCCTGTTGCAGAAAGCGAGGGGGGTCATTAAAAATCAGGAAAGAAATTTAAGGCTTTTGGATAAGCGTGAAGCAGAGCTAGTGCAAGCGAAGGAGAAAATTAACAAGGAGCTGATGAAGTATCATTCGAGAGCTTCAAACTAGTATTGTATTTTCAAAATTTCAAACTTGTTTGTGTGTTATGATCATCTTTGGAACTAACTACTGTAGCTTGTTGCTATTTGCTAAAAGACTTAGAGATTTGAATAATGTTGTTTGTGCTTGTGCTCTTAAACCAACTTCGTTTGGAACCTACTAGCTCGTTGCTATTTGCGCATGTGTCATTACAAAAACAATGTTATAATGACCATAACTTGTCTTGGTGGTGGGAGCTGCTGTATCAATTCAAACCACATATATCTCCCTCCCTCCCTCCCTCCCAGTAGCCTTGCCTTTGTTATGTTCAAGGATTATCTTTGGAACTAACTACTGTAGCTTGTTGCTATTTGCTAAAAGACTTAGAGATTTGAATAATGTTGTTTGTGCTTGTGCTCTTAAACCAACTTCGGCTTGTCTCTCTCCCTCCCTGAGCAGTGCCAAATAGGTTTTGCCAACAATACAAAATCCACTTGTTAAATAGGTTTTGCCAGCAATACAAAATCCACTTGTTAAATAGGTTTTGCCAACAATACAAATCCACTTCTTAAATAGGTTTTGCCAAGAAGTAAGTATTATTACAAACTTTCGTTATTACACAAGCATGATCCAGAACACAAAAAGCAGCCTCTACATAAGCGGCAGAGCGAGCATATGATATGTTTTGTCCGCAACTCTTTCACTTGCGTACTTTCAAGACTTCCATAGCCGTCTGAAGCGAAGACGTGATGAATTCGTTAAAACAACCCCCATAAAAGTTATTTATCAAAGAGACATGAAGTTCTTCCTTTGTTTCACTGTGCCCATCAAATCTATGCTACAATTCAAAGAGAGAGAGAGGGAGAGAGAAAAAAACTCACAAACTCATCCTTTTTAGCAACATAAGCTTCAAGTCTCTCAGAAACCAGTTTATCCAACCTCTCAAATTCCGCTCTTTCTTTACGAAATTCCTTTACTATCTCGCGCACCTCCTCAGCTTTTCATCAAAATCAGGAAATTATTTACTCTGAATACATCAATTTTTTTTTATGAAAAATTCACACGTACCCTGCTTATAGCCAGCGACCAAAATTGAACCGGCTAGTACTAGGAAAGTTTGGCCTGGTTTCTGCGCGACCTCTTCTACCCACACACGTTTCATGTATCGGCCAATCCTACTCTGCAAAAATCATTCAATCAATATCAATAATAATACAATTAGGACACAAAACGGGGGATGGAAGAATCGTCGTTTCAATTACATTAGCAACAGAGGATCCTACACTCCGCATCGCCATCTTCCTTTCTTTAGGGTTTCGTCTTCCGCCTTGTCTAAGCCGAAAAGAAGATTAGATGAGCTTTGAAACAAACCGGAATATATAGGATTCGACAATCTATTTCCCCCACGAAAAATATCATATAACACCAAATGTATGTGGTATGACCCCTTTCTATTTACCCGAAAATAAAGTTAGCAACCTATTTTCTCACCAAATTTGGTTTAGTTATGATTTCTAAAAACCGAATTTTAAATCTCCACTCTCATATAATAAAATCGAACAAAACTAAACCAAGACAAAATTAAAAGCCTGACTAAACCCTGATCTGGATCAGAATACTAACCCGATCCAACAACCGAATTTGAAAATATCTGTCTGATTGAATCTTAATCTGGTTAGTCATTGGTTTAACATGGTTTACGGTTTATTTGCAAACAATAAACAAAAAAAAATCGATTTGTGGGTTTTTAGATTTCGATCTTTATAATTATGAAGAAATATCGATTTAACTTTAATTTGGTGGAGAAATATAATTTGAATTTTATTTTTTGGGGTAAATAGAACGGGGTCGTAGTTCTGTTGACATCTGATGCTATACGATACGTGGGGAAATAGATCGTCAACCCGAATATATATATATTTCTTTTAAAACCTGGTACATTTTTTGTCAATTCAATTCTGGTACTTTTTTTTTAAATCACATTCTCTGTCTATTGGTTTAGTAGCTTCAACTCAGGATAAAAAAAAGTAGTGAATCAACTTCTGATGGATGGATCCATTAGTAGATGTGTTTAAAAAGTGTAACAAAACATTTCCACTGTAAAAGTCATGATTTTGATATTGGGCAGAGAAATAAACAAATCTCTGCTTTGTATCTAAATGTTTCTACTCAGAAAAGAAGTGTCTTTACTTTCTAAGCTCTGATAATTACCAGTCCAGGAAACCATGTCCGTAAACTCATGACAAAAAGCCGTATTTTGAGTTTCATGTTCCTCTGTTTAATTTTTGATTCGTCAATGTAGTAAGTTGTAACACTCTTGGTTTAATTTACTGTGTAGAGGGACGACCAATACAGTTTCAAATGCTTGACTGTATCGTTGTAAAGATAGTTTTTCAGATTTTAAGATTCGCCGAAACTGTGTTAGTTGCACCGTTGCATCAATGTAATCTTTTATTTGGATTATTTATTACTGACTAGTTGACTTATTGGCAGATGTCTAAATCTGGTCTATATATATAAAGCACGACTAGACCATCTTCGAATGAATCCGCGTACACGTATGTTCCAGTCTGGCTCGTATAAACAATGTAATATTAAAATCAATCAAGTCGTCTTCCCCCCTCCACATTTCTATAACAGTTGCTTCTGTACAAAGAAACCCTGATATCTATTTAGTATACTGATTTGATTTTGGTTCTTCGAGCAGATTCAGTTTAAGAAACAGACAACAAATATGAGTCAAGGCTTAGATCTCTCTCTTCTGGAAGAGCTAACGTCAAATGCGAAGCAAATACAAGAAGATGTATTGAACAAGATACTCAAAGCTAACGCAAACACAGAGTACCTCACCCGTTTTCTTGAGGGGAGCTCTGACAAAGAGCTGTTCAAGAAGAACGTACCAGCGGTCAGCTATGAAGATGTCAAGCCTTATATCGATCGTGTCGCAAACGGTGAACCCTCGGAAATTATTTCGGGTGAACCCATTACTGCCTTAATCCTAAGGTATACACACCTCCTAATCCTATCTTATCATTAAAATAACAAAGAGTTTCTTATTTTTTAATATGAAATATTTGATGAATGTTGTGATTAATGGTTGTTGGTTAGCTCTGGAACTTCAAGTGGGAATCAAAAGATATATCCTGCGAACAACATCTACTTTGAGAATATGCGATTCGGCTTTGCTATAAGCTCTGTCATTATGTCCAAGTAATTAAATATTTACATGCTTCCTTTTTTCTTTAATGTGTTGCTAAGTAATTAATTTGACGACTAGAAGATGGATTAGTATCTTTTTTGGTTGATATTAAAGGCATGTCGATGGTATAAAGCAAGGAAAGGCGATGAGATTTATATTCACTCGGAACATGTCCAAAACTCCTTGTGGTTTGCCACTTGGTTTTGCGTTAACTTGCTACAGAAAGAGCCAATATTATAGGAGCCCTGGAAAACATAGTACAAGCCCCGGCGAGATCACAATATGTCCTGACGCCAAACAGAGCATGTACTGTCAACTTCTATGTGGTCTTGTCCAGAGAGACGAGGTTGTAAGTGTTGGTGCTTTGTATGCCTCTGTCTTGGTTCAAGCAATCCATTTTCTTGAAAAGTACTGGAAAGAGCTGTGCAGTAATATCAGGTCCGGTCATGTCAGCGAATGGATCACTGACCTTGGTTGTAGAGACTCTGTCTCTATCGTCCTTGGAGAGCCAAATGCTGACTTGGCAGATTTGATCGAAAACGAGTGCAGCGGAACAAAACCTTGGCAAGGTATAATTACAAGACTTTGGCCCAAGACCAAATGCATTGAAGCTGTTATTACAGGAACCATGGCTCAATACATCCCAGCATTGGACTTCTACTCTAATAAACTGCCTCTTGTTTCCATGTTTTATGGAGCCTCTGAAACACTTTTAGGGATAAATGTGAATCCTCTAAGCAAACCAGAAGACGTGTCCTACACGTTTCTGCCTAACTTGTCATATTTTGAGTTCATAGATGTTGATGGAACCACAAGCGAGATTGTTGATCTTGTGGATGTGAAGTTAGGTGGCTACTATGAGCCCTTGGTCACAAACTATTCTGGTAAAGACCCTCCGAGTTGTACTTATTATTGACTATAACTTGCTCTTTGTTTTAACTAATGTTGTTATGCTATATATTTATATGTTGTTTGTTAGGTTTACACAGATGTAGAGTGGGAGATGTTGTACAGGTCACTGGGTTTTACAACAACACACCACAATTCAGATTCGTACGTAGAAAAAACACGGTTTTAAGTGTGTATCTTGAGCCAACCACTGAAGAAGATATTTTAAAGGCGTTGGCTCGTGCAACAGTTATTCTTGAATCTTCGGATTTGATTTTGACAGGCTTCACATGCTATGGTGACATCTCCACTGTACCGGGTCACTACGTTTTTTACTTAGAACTCAAAGCCAAAGACAACAATGGTACCAGCGTTCTACAACTTGATAACAAGGTGTTGGTGGAATATTGTTGTGTCATGGAGGAATCATTGAGTAGTTATTATAGAAGCCTTAGGAGAAAAGATGGAGGGATCGGAGCTCTAGAGGTAAGAATTGTGCAACAAGGAACGTTTGATTCTCTGATGGAGTATTATGTCTCACGGGGTGCTTCTATAACTCAATACAAGACACCTATATGCATAAACTCTGATGAGGCTTTAAAGGTTCTTGAAGATAAGGTTCTTGCTCGGTTCTTCAGCGATAAATCCCCTCCTATCTGATCTAGATATATATGATCTATTTGGATACGGTTGCTGATGATGACCATCTGGAATAAGTATATCACCTAGTTGAAGAATAATGATGCAACATAGTGTTATTTTGTGAGAGTGTTGCTTTGTGTAAAATTTTGTGGTTTTATGTGTTGTATGTTTTTCTTTTGTGTCGTCGTGTTTGATGTGGTGGAAATGTTAAGTGTGACTGATGCATTATTATTTTTAAAGACTCTTGTATTTGCTTCGCATTTGCATTAGCTTTGAGTATCTTATTCTTGGTTAATGGTTAATACATTCTCTTGTATTTGCTTCTCAAGAGTATGATCAGCATTTGGCTGCTGTTAATACAATCACTTATTTTTGCTGAAAACGGATCGCTATGGGTTGCGTGGATCTCTAAACACACTTATATTGTAATGGTACACTGAGGAGAATACTCCACTAAGTCTGGGTATTATGTAGCTATTGATGATGATGAATTTAGGAACGCTGAGACCATTGCTACAGATTTCGACTGGTCTAAAAATATATGGAACCTTGACTGTGCACCGAAATTGAAGATGTTTGCTTGGAAACTTCTCAAAGGCGCCTTACCAACTGGTGAGTGTCTTATTGAGCGACATGTTGAGGTCGATCCGAAGTGTAAGCGTTGTGGTTGCACCGAATCTATCACTCACCTCTTTTTTCACTGCCCCTTTGCTCGCAAAGTGTGGAGACTCCCCTATTGCAAAACCTGCATTTGTCCCGCCATGCCCCAGGAACACGATGGTGGTACGGTCTGATGCGGCGTGGTCCTCCCAGCACTTGAAAGCAGGACTAGGTTGGGTTTTGTTCTCAAACACAGCACAACAGTCTTGGGCTAAACAAGAGGAGTATGTAGCATCACCTCTAATAGCAGAAGCGTTAGCTCTGCGTGAAGCTGTTGCAGGCTGCAAGAACTTGGACTTGAAGACACTGAGATTTGAGTCCGACTCGGCTCAACTCATCAAAATTCTCAACTCGAACTCGAGACCACTGGAGCTCCATGGGATTGTCTCAGACATCCTTGCTGATATCTCTGTTTTTGAATTTGTTTGTTTTGCGTGGATCCCTCGTGCGAGGAATTCAATGGCCGACTGTTTGGCAAAAGGTGTCTTGAATGCACCTGGTCAGTTTGTAGTTGATGGTGCTCTTAATGCACCCAACTAACACTTCTCTAAATTAATATATGAGTTTCAAAAAAAAAAAAAAACACTGAGGAGAAGAAACATGACTAAAATGATATTTAAAAAAAAAAAGATACGTAGCATGTGTTATTTCCACTTTTGCAGCAACGTAAATTTTATTTGGATTCATCTTATTGGCTTGTTCACTTATTGACAGATATCCAAATCTGGTTTATACATTAAACTAGTCCATCTTCATATCGATCCAAGCGTATTCCAGTCTGGCTTATATAAACAATTTTAATCGTCTTCCACGCTTAACATTTTTTTAAAAAAAATTGCATCATTATAAAGAAACCCCCTGACATTAGCCGTTGGTGAATAAAACATCAAAACAAAGAGTAAATATGAGTCTAGGCTGCGATCTTTCTGTTCTGGAAGAGCTAACTTCAAATGCAAAACAAATACAAGAAGATGTATTGACCAAGATACTCAAAGCTAACGCAAACACTGAATACCTCAGCCGTTTTCTCAAGGGAAGCTTCGACAAAGAGCTATTCAAGAAGAACGTACCAGTGGTGAGCTATGAAGATGTTAAGCCTTATATTGATCGTGTCGCAAATGGAGAACCCTCGGATATCATTTCGGGCGAACCAATTACTGCGTTTCTTCGAAGGTATACACCATCTTAATATATTGAATAACAGATAGTTTCTTATTTACATATGAATGATTTGTTGAATCATAGATTGTTGTAATTAATGGTTGTTGCTTAGCTCTGGAACTTCAAGTGGGAATCAAAAGATATATCCAATAAACAACATCTTATTTGAGAATATGCTATTCGGCTTTACACTAAGCTCTCTCGTTATGTCCAAGTAATTAATTTCTACATTCTTCAATTTTTCCAAGTAATTAATTAGACGACAAAGATGAATTGATATCTTTTTGGTTGATATTAAAGGCATGTTGATGGTTATAAGCAAGGAAAGGCAATAAGCTTTATATTCACTCAGTCCATGTCCAAAACTCCTTGTGGTTTGCCACTTGCTCCCGCGTTAACAAGCTACAGTAAGAGCCAATATTATAGGAGACCGGGAAAACGTAGTACAAGCCCCGACGAGGTCATACTATGTTCTGATACTAAACAAAGTATGTACTGTCAACTTCTTTGTGGTCTTGTCCAGAGAGACGAGGTTGTAAGTGTTGGTGCTTTGTACGCCCCTGTCTTGGTTCAGGTTATCCATTTTCTTGAAAAATTCTGGAAAGAGTTGGCTAGTAATATCAGGTCCGGTCATGTCAGCGAATGGATCACCGACCTTGGTTGTAGGGACTCTGTCTCTGCCATCCTTGGAGAACCAAAGCCTGAGCTGGCAGATTTAATCGAAAAAGAGTGTGGAAAAAAATCATGGCAAGGTATAATTTCAAGACTTTGGCCCAAAACCAAATGCATTGAAAGTGTTGTTACAGGAGCCATGGCGCAATACATCCCAGCATTGGAGTTCTACTCTAATAATCTGCCTCTAGTTTCCATGTTTTATGGATCCTCTGAAACACTTTTGGGGATAAATGTGAATCCTCTAAGCAAACCACAAGATGTGTCCTACACATTCCTACCCAACATGTCATATTTCGAGTTCATACATGTTGGGGTCGATGGAGAAGATACAAGCGAGATTGTTGATCTTGTGGATGTGAAGTTAGGTGGCTACTATGAGCCCTTGGTCACAAACTATTCTGGTAGTCTCCCTTTAAATTTTAATTATTACTAACGTAACTAAATCTAAATAACTTCTTTTTCTTTTTCACTAACTTTTTGTGATGATATTTTTTTTAGGTTTACACAGATCTAGAGTGGGAGATGTTTTACAGGTCACTGGATTTTACAATAACACACCACAATTCAGATTCGTACGTAGAAAAAATACGGTTTTATGCGTCGATCTAGAGCCAACGACTGAAGAAGATATTTTAAAGGCCTTGGCTCGTGCAACAGTCGTTCTTGAATCTTCAGATTTGATTTTGACAGGCTTCACATGCTATGGTGACATCTCCACTGTACCGGGTCACTACGTCTTTTACTTGGAACTCAAAGCCAAAGTCAACAATGGCACCAACGTTCTAGAGCTTGATAACAAGGTTTTGGTGGAGTATTGTTGTGTCATGGAGGAATCATTGAGTGGTATCTATAGGAGACTTAGGGGAAAAGAGGGATCAATTGGAGCTCTAGAGGTAAGGATTGTGCAACAAGGTACGTTTGATTCTCTCATGGAGTTTTTTGTCTCCCGAGGTTCTTCTATGTCTCAGTACAAGACACCTATATGCGTAAACTCTGCTGAGGCTTTAAAAGTTCTTGAAGACAAGGTTCTTGCACGCTTCTTTAGCGACAGATCACCTCCTATATGATCCAAATATGAATATATTTTGGATATGATGATGATGATCCTTGCGGAGTATTGAAGTAACATAGTTATTTGCTGAGACTGGTTTTTATGTGGAATAATTTGTGGTTTAATGTGTAATTGAAGCTTTTTTTTTCTTGCTATGTTACAACGTCATTGTCAAATCGTGTGGCAACAAATAAATGAAACATATTTTAGTATATGGTTATGATTGGTGTTTAATCTTTTCTCTATATTTCTAAAAGATAAATGTTTTTGTATGTTTACGCATATTAAAAAACATATGTTAAAATAATCGTTATTATTGTCTTCTTGTATATTCTGAATTTCTGATTATGAGACGCACCCCTAGTATTTTTTCAAGATTTGCAGAAACGACATTTCAAGAAAAAAAAAAGAAGAAATATTATGTGAAGAAAACCCTAACGAGAGCATTGACCAATAATCGAAGAAATCAAGACTTTGATCCTCAAAGCGGTGGCCTCATTGGGCTTAAACCACTTCTTTATGTATTATGTAATGCCTTTTTCAATCATTTCTATTTTTGGCGTGCGATCGACGATATTTTCTGCTCTTGTTTGAATTGTATAGTAGACAACATTGTTAATAGTGATAACCATTAATGATAATGTTGTCTGAGATCCCTTTGTAGGCTTTTATTTGGATTCGTTGACTTATTGGCAGATATACAAATCTGGTTTATATATTAAATTAGCACGCACGACTAGTCCATCTTCTAATCGATCCACGCGTATTCCAGTCTGGATTGTATAAACAATACAAATCGTCTCCCACGCTAGACATTTTTAAAACTTTTGCAACGTTATAAAGTAGCCCCCTGATATGAGGTGGTGAATAAAACATCTAAAACTGAAGAATGAATATGAGTCTGGGCTGTGATCTCTCTCTTCTGGAAGAGCTAACTTCCAACGCAAACCAAATACAAAATGATGTGTTAACCAAGATACTCAAAGCTAACGCAAACACAGAATACCTCCACCGTTTTCTCGAGGGGAGCTCCGACAAAGATCTGTTCAAGAAGAACGTACCAGTGGTGAGCTATGAAGATGTTAAGCCTTATATCGATCGTGTCGCAAATGGAGAACCCTCTGATATTCTTTCGGGCAAACCCATTACTTCGTTTGTCAGAAGGTATACACACACCTTATCATTGAATAACAAGAGTTTCTTCTTTTGATCAAAAAAAAAAACAAGAGTTTCTTATTAAAATATGAAGGATTTGATGAATCAATTTAAAGAGTTGAAATAGTGTTGTTCTTGTAATTTAATGCTTTTCTAGCTCTGGAACTTCAAGTGGGAATAGAAAGATATTTCCTGGAAATAAAAACTATGAGGATATTGTATTAGGCCGTGACCTAAACTCACTCGTTATGTCCAAGTAATTTTTCTAAATACTTCTTTATTTTATGAAACTGATGCTTTCATGAAAAAAGTGGACTGATATATTTTTTATGTTGAATTTTAAAGACATTTCGATGGTTATAAGGAAGGAAAGATGATGAAATTTACGTTCACTCAGCCGTTATCCAAAACTCCTTGTGGTTTGCCTCTTGCTTCCGCAACAAGCATGTTCATGAAGAGCAAATATTATAGGAGCCCGGGAACACGTAGTACAAGCCCCGAAGAGATCATACAGTGTACGGATACGAAACAAGTTATATATTGTCAACTTCTATGTGGTCTTGTGTTGAGAGACGAGGTTGTAAGTGTTGGTTCTCTGTTCGCTTCTGTCTTGGTCCAAGTAATCCATTTTCTTGAAAATTACTGGAAAGAGTTGGCTAGTAATATCAGGTCAGGTCATCTCAGCGAGTGGATCACTGACCTTAGTTGTAGAGACGCTGTCTCTGCCATCCTTGGAGAGCCAAATCCTGAACTGGCGGATTTAATCGAAAACGAGTGTGGACAGAAGTCTTGGCAAGGTATAGTTTCACGACTGTGGCCCAAAACTAAATGCGTTGAAGCTATTGTTACAGGAATGATGGCTCAGTACATCCCAGCACTCGAGTTCTACTCCAATAATCTGCCTCTAGTTTCTAGTATTTATGCATCCTCTGAAGCATTTTTCGGGATAAATGTGAATCCTCTAAGCAAACCACAAGATGTGTCCTACACATTCCTACCCAACATGTCATATTTCGAGTTCATACATGTTGATGCCGATGGAGAAGATACAAGCGAGATTGTTGATCTTGTGGATGTGAAGTTAGGTGGCTACTATGAGCCCTTGGTCACAAACTATTCTGGTAACCTCCCTTTGAATTTTATATATTACAAAATAAATTTAAATAATTCTTTTTGTTGTAACTAATGTTGTCGTAATATTTTCATGTTGGTTTAGGTCTATACAGATATAGAATGGGAGATGTTTTACAGGTCACCGGGTTTTACAATAAGACACCACAATTCAGATTCGTACGTAGAAAAAATACGGTTTTATGCGTCTATCTTGAGCCAACGACTGAAGAAGATATTTTAAAAGCGTTGGCTCGTGCAACAGTCGTTCTTGAATCTTCGGATTTGATTTTGACAGGCTTCACATGCTATGGTGACATCTCCACTGTACCGGGTCACTACGTCTTTTACGTGGAACTCAAAGCCAAAGTCAACGAAAGCACTAATGCTCTACTACTTGATGACAAGGTATTGGTGGAATATTGTTGTGTTATAGAGGAATCATTGAGTAACTTTTATAGAAGCCTTAGGATAAAAGATGGACCGATAGGAGCTCTAGAGGTAAGGATTGTGAAAGAAGGAACGTTTGATTCTCTCATGGAGTATTATGTCACACGAGGTGCTTCTATAACTCAATACAAGACACCTATGTGCATAAACTCTGATGAGGCTTTAAAGGTTCTTGAAGATAAGGTTCTTGCTCGGTTCTTCAGTGATAAATCCCCTCCTATCTGATCTAGATATGATATAGTTGGCTACGGTTGATGATGATGGCCACCTGGAATAATTATATCACCTGGTTGAAGAATAATGATGCAACATAGTTATTGTGTGAGAGTGTTGTTTTGTGTAGAATTAGTGGTTTCAAAGTTGTGTGTTTTTCTTTTGTGTCGTCGTGTTTGTTGTGGTGGGGGTTAAACCGTTATGGCCACCTGGAATAATTATATCACCTGGTTGAAGAATAATGATGCAACATAGTTATTGTGTGAGAGTGTTGTTTTGTGTAGAATTAGTGGTTTTAAAGTTGTGTGTTTTTCTTTTGTGTCGTCGTGTTTGTTGTGGTGGGGGTTAAACCGTTAAATGTGATTGATGCATTATTAACGACCTCGGTTTTCAGGTTATTCATAATATATCTTTCAGGTCGTTAGCTTTAGGATTTTCGAAATGGTATTCCTTATATAGTTATATATATTTTGTGTTATTCCAACCCTAATATGATTCCGAAAAAAATACCTCAATTCTCGATTAATAAAACACTAAGTAGAGGATTGAAATATGAACATGTTGTCCTAAATCATGGTTCTCTGTCATGTACAACTCTCACGGAATAGCTGAATGAGTTTGTTCCAGATTTTGATCCTCAAAGCGAAGGCTTCATTGGATGAGATTCTATGTTTGATTAATTACATCAAATTACTTAATATTATCTTTAAACAAAAATATGTATAATACTACATGAATATCTGATTGGTCTCTAACGATATTTAAATATTGCAACCAACAGAACACATTTTTCAAGGTATTAAAATTTACAATAATCATTTTTTAAACTAATTTACAGTAATAATCTATTGCTTAAATTCTGATCGATAGTGGTGTACATTGACTTCAACAATATTAACTTCGTCGAATGCGTACGCTGTCTCGCTTTTTATTGGATTCACGTTCATGCATGTGAACAAAGTTTTTTGTCAATAGTACTTATTACTACTATAAAATTCAATATTTTGAGCTTTGAACAGTTATATTCTATTAGTAAGTACTACTCTTAAGGTTAGTTACTATAGCTGGTTTTGTTTGTGTTTAACGAAAAGTTGGAGTATTTGAATGTACGATACTGTTGACCATTATTAAAGAACAATGACGACCCTAATAGAAAACGAAAGGACATATATAATTCACAATCTTAATTCTTGATTTGTTACGTGTTGGTTGCCGCATAACGTGATAAGGTTTCTACAATAATAGTAACATTGTTATAATATTCACAAACAATAACAACATGAAAAATTAACATATAATGAAGTTGTGTATAACGTTTTTCATTTTATTTGTGTATCGACTAACACTATACTTTATGTTTGCACGTTGGTAGATACGTGAATCCATGATCCCTAATATCTTTCTTTTAATTTGGAGTATATTTCGTGTCATTAACATACATAGTTTCTACAGTTCTATAGCTATAATTACATAATGACCAAGTATATCTCGACCCTTAACCACCAGAGCATTGTAAATATTAGACATCTTGCCCGGGGAAAAGACTACATCCAGTACCGGACCATTGATTTGAGCAATACGTTCTAGGTTGTTTTTTTCATGTATTGAAACCTCTAGATCCGAAGTAGTAGGATTTATTCTCATAATAAAAAAATATGTTCAATTTTGTTGCGAAATTTTTTCCTTGAACCTCAATTATGTCACGCCTACCAACTTTGCCATATAACTCCAGTCGCAGGTTCAGGTTCGGTGATTAAGGCCATCTTTATCCCAGCATCCCATTAAGGGATGTTTATTTTTATTTTTTATTTTTTAATCTAATTTAAAAAGAATTAATCACGGCTCACCACGTGTCAATAGAGCCCGTGAACAGTTCAAACAATTTTCCAAAATCGTGGCTTATATAAGATTTATAAGCACTAGATTTTTTCTTTTTGGTATGACCTATCTCACTAATTTAATAATTTTTGGATAAGCATCCTCTTCTTAGCAACTGGGATAAAGATGCCCTAAGTGCTGCCATAATTTTCTGCCGAAGAAAAAATATTTGATGTCAGGTATAGAAAAAGAGAAGCAAAACAAGATGCATATTCGAACGTAAGCAAAAAAATACATTATTGTACAAAATGTGAGGTTATTAATGGTTTTCTTTATGTTTGGTAGGAATGAAGTAGATTATACATCAATCAAGGGAGATGATATATAAAACAATTGATCCTCAGTGGAAATACATCGGATCTTGCAAAAGTGAAAACAAAAGTCTCCATTACGTTTATTTTTATTATTTATAATATCTCGTTCTGCCCTATCACAAGTACCTGTTAACCAAAAAAAAGTGTATAAACATTACAAAACATCTATCTGAAACGTATATGCAAGATTTAAAGGTTAAAACATAAATTAAACCTTACAAGGAAAAACCTGGCTAAGAAAACATTTAACTACTTTTAGCTTTTCATTTCTATATTAATAACACTTTTGTAAAAAATTGTGTGTTTATTCATTATTTTATGTGAATCTCTTTGTTGTTTACTACCATTTTATGTTAGGGGCAATTTGCACAATATTCATAGTAAACACGAAAATGAAGTGTATACACATAGCAATTTGATTTGACATTTTGCACTGGTTTTGGACTCTTTTGTCCTTTCACGCGCATGTGCGTCGGTTTGAGGCAAGTGAGCAGAAATATTGTAACATACATCTAACACTATTCAGACCTATATGCACATATATCACGTACTATAGCAGAAAGATAAAGTGAAAGCCAAAAATTATACTACAAATGAGTTCGTTTAGTATAAAAAGAGAAAGACCAAATAATGATTATATGATTATAATGATTATATGGATTCGAGGACAGTTTATGGGGGAGTAAAACATAAGTTGGATACTATAGCCTTTATAGTACAGAAAAAAATGTGGCATATTAATATATGGTTAGGTTGTAAAATCACACATATAGTGTAAAGAACTTGTTACTATATTATATGCCATATAGTATAATTCATGTACAATCAAAATTTGAAATGGACCACATATTACTATATTATATGCCATATAGTATAATTCATGTAGAACAAAACATCATATGATTCTATACTATACACAACTAGTATAGTATAGTCAAATGGAAACAAAGAACATGTTTATTTGATTATGTTATGTACAAGAAGTAACCACACTGAAGTTTATCGGTTGCGACAATGTGTTAATTTCCGCCATAAGAAACAAAGTCTATAATAAGTAAAATTATAGAGGTCCAAAATTGTGAAATCTAATATAGAAAATGGTATATAAACTAAATGTTGCGTATGCCAGTTGCCATTTATACTATATTAAAAATGTAATAATATAGTAATGAAAGTTCTTTTCTATGTCACAATACAAACATATTTCATTGTTGCATAAATACATAAAAGACTAATATCTAAAAAAACGTTACTATACTATACAACATATAGTATAGTCATTCAATAGAGAGATACAACGCGAATGTTTAGTTCGATGAAAGCAAGAATACATAATAGAACATATCTCTGACATGGTGTTGATGCGTAGTATAAACATGACTCCAATTAGAAAACTAAGTAGAAGGAGAAAATGATTAAACTGGGATGAGAGAGAAGAGGAGGAGTGTTGTGGAAGTAATTGAAGTGAAGTGAGAGACGAGGTCGTGGTGGTGGTGGTGTTGGTGGAGGAGGGGGAAGAGGAGATGTTGGTGGAAGTGATTATTGAAGCGGAGTGAGAGAGGAGAAAGAGAGGGAGGAGGAGGTGGTGATGGTGGTGGTGATGGAGGAGGAGAGAGGAAGTGATTGAGTGAAAGAAGAGGAGGAGGTGTTGGTGTAAATGATTGAAGCGGATTGAGAGAGGAGGAGGAAGATGATGAGAAAGAAGTGTTGGTGAGAGTGAATAAAATGGAGTGAGAGAGGAGGAGGAGGAGGAGGATGAAGAGGAAGACGTGGTGGTGGTATTGGTGGTGGAGATTCTAAGAAACTATACTATTATATGTATATATAATATAGTATGATAAGCTGAGAAAAAGAAATGATTTTCTTTTACGCGCAATTGAAGGATAATATAGGGATTAACGAGAAAAAAGGTAACCATAACTTAACCATGACGTTACTATGGATATCCATTGTTTTTGTTGGGTTACTATGAATATTGGGCCAAATTTCCCTTTATGTTATTATCTTATTTATACCTATACACAGTCACAACCAAGTCATTTGATCAAAGGTTTAATATTGTAACACATTGTTTAGGTTTCAGTTTCCAACTTTCTTTTAGAGCCTGAACCATTTATTCATATCTAAAAAATGTAACATATGAAAGAAAAAAGTAAAACTTTCACAAACCAAAAGTGTTGATATCTAAGTAATGTCTCTTATCTCAAGTGCCGGCACCTGTCCATGCTAAGTTGCTAACCGACCATTCTATTCCCTATTCTATTTCCAAAAAAAACTTTAGTTGTGGGTGACACCCAGTAACACACACTCATAGATGTACAGTCAAATCTACATAAACCATAATAATAAAGTACATTCTGATTTCTGATAATGACAAAAGCTCGAATATAATAAAGAACTGCACAGTCTGCACTTTTAAGTCATAACAATATTACCATATTATAAAATTGGGATCTCACATGTGTATAAGTAGGCCTAAAGTGAGAGCAGTGTGTGGACCTACACTCACCTTAAAGAACACTTCTTTTCCTCTGCTCCTCTTTCTCTTTTTTTTTAACAGAGTCTCTCTGTTTTCTTTTTTTGTTTCTTGGAAATGGGGAATTGTCAGACGATAAACGCCGCAGCACTAGTTCTACAGCATCCCGGCGGTAAAATCGACAGGTACTATGTCTCTATCTCCGTCAGCGAGATCATGAGTATGTATCCTGGTCACTATGTGTGTCTCATCATTCCTTTGACGGAGGAGGAAGAGAAGAAGGTTCCAACGACTGTTAAGAGAGAAGACAAGAAACACAAGAAGGGTGTGAGGTTTACACGTGTCCAGCTTCTCAGGCCTACGGAGAGTCTCGTGCTTGGTCATGCTTACAGGCTCATTACTTCACAAGGTTCAGCCACTTGTTCTGTTTCCTCTGTTTTTCCCATAGAGTTTTTGTTCTGTTTTCCTCTGTTTTTCAAACCGTGTGATTGGAGTTTTTATGATGAATTATTGTGATATTTAACAGAAGTGATGAAGGTGTTAAGGGAGAAGAAAGGCGCGAAGACAAAGAAGCACCACGCTGAGACGATGACGACGGTGAAGAAGTTGTTGGAGAAGAATGTTCAGGTAGATTCATAACTGATTGTTTTTGATGATTCGTTTTTTTTTAATAATGAGAATCAAAAGAGTCTTGCATGAGTTCTTGCTAAAAGATGATTTATCTTATACTTTGTTGTAAGACCAAAAAAAAAAGAGTTAATAGGTTTTGTGTTTTTTTTTTGGTCAGGAGAAGAAACAAGGGAAGCAGCATCGTGTACTAACGAGTTCAGCTTCTTTCTTAAAATCTAAAACATGGAAGCCTTCTCTTCAGAGCATCTCCGAAGCTACGAGCTGAATGTTCTTGTTCGAGGGACAAGAAACCGTACTTGGATTACTGAATAAACACTTGATCGGTTCCTTTTTTTTTTTTCTTTTCTGGTTATAACAGAGGATGAAGTCAAGATCAAGATATGAAGAGATAAGTAGTGGATATCTTCCCTTATACAAAGAAGGCTTAACAAAGCCAAGAAGAAAAAAAGAGCTTCTTTCTTTTTTTTTCTTTATCTACGATGTACATATTTTCGCAGATAGAGAAATTGATCGAAGTTTGTAAGACCAAACCAAAGATTAGGTTTTTGTTGATGTAAACTCGATTTAGAAGAAACGGAGCTTTTAAAAACTATGAACAAATAACATATTTATCTTCTTACATGAAGTGGCTTTACCACATAGTAACAACAAAAAGCTAACAATAAGCTAAAACAAAATATAAGACACACCACAGATGTCAAAAGAAACCAATGGAAAGACCCTAATAGCTGCACGTAAGAACATCAATCACAAGTGCTAGAATACATACACAAATCAGTTCAATGTAATATAATAGAGCCCTTCAAAAAGAACAACCAACCAGATACATTTCAGAAAGAAAAAAAGAGCACAGTGAGTATACCTTTCCACGAAGAGAATCATAGCTTGGAGGAACAACATAGTCTGGATATACATGGCTATCCATCCTAACAAAAGGACCTCCAGACGGCAGATACGATGTTGTTCGATTCATATATGTAAATCATTTATTTGAACCTTGTTGAATTTCTTTAATAAGTGATACAAGACAAATTCAAGTGAATTTTAATTTTCTTAATGGGAACATTACCAAGTTTTGATTGGTTTTTTAAATCTTTTAAAAAAGCGGGCTAGTCACAATAATACCGTTGAGACAGCAAGTGTCAACTAACAGACAGAATGTAATAACCATAAACACAATCTTAAGCTTATGTTCAAGACCCTAATAATTGTTTCATTACACTACCACAATTTCATTACACTACCACCGTTTCATTACACTACCAGCTTTAGTATCTCATTAAATCGCCAAAAGTAAGTCTTTACGCCAAATCGTTATGCAAAATCAAGCCCTCATCCACAAGAAACCTGAAAAGAATCAGCAGATAAAAGTTTCTTCAATACAAACAACATTCAGGAAGAAAAACAAAATACATGTCATGGACAACAAATAACATAAACCATATATATATATATATATATATATATATATATATATATATATATATATATATATATATATATATATATATATATATTTATCAAACTATTGTTAAGTTTCAAGTCTACCTAAGAGAAAGAAGTTTTAGACAGTAGCAGGAATAAGCATGTTTTGAAACAGATCATCTACACATGTACACTTCGGAATGCTAATTTCCCAAAACAAATGCACAGATTTGTTCATAAAACTAAAACATATCATATGAACATAGTCAAAAAGGAAAAGATGCAGCTTAAATAAAGAATAGCAACACATATCTACAGTAGAAAGTGCACAAAATTTCTACATAAATGATGCATCATCTATAGTGCATGACATCTTAAAACCATCTCTACTAATGTTTCTTTTTTTTATTTTTACTTTATTTTGAAGTAAATTTTGCTTCAAATATGTTTCATTTATTACTTCAAAATGAAACAATGAACAATGTTACTTCAGATTTAAAGTTATAGAATTCACTGTTTCATTCTTTGAAGATGGAATTTCTCAATTAGAAATTAGTTTTAACTTTTATTTGTTCTTACTTTTTGATAAAGTGAATTATATACATTAATATTATCCAATTAATATCAAAATTTGGACTATTAATTTTTAAATAATCTGATATTTATATTGAAGATCATATGGATATTCATTTCAACAATTTTTAATTTTTAAATAATCTGATATTTATATTGAAGATCATATGAATGTAAGACCGGGAAAGTAGATTCATATTTTCTACAAAAAAAAGAGACTTTTGTGTTTATTCACAACTTCATTATTATTTATAGTATTATTTATTCGCTTCTATTTGTATAGTTTTGTTTATTTATCTATATGTTTATTTCACAATGTAAACAGAAAATTATTTGTAGAAGACTATTTTTGTATGTGCGGGTTTATATTTTACAACGTATTCACAAAATAAAATAAAAATGTATATATATATATATAATATCTGAAACGTTTCACAAAATCTAGTTTTGTATAGTACTTCATCATATAAAAAGTAATAATATAGTAACATTTAATTTGCTTACGTCATCAAAGAATTTAGGCATTGTTTATGTGATGGTAATTATTTAGTGGTCACTTGTATTTAAAGCCTCAAAACGTTTTTCGTTGATAGTTGTGAATATGTAATATCGAAAGGCAACGATTGCTGCCACCGATCGTTTTATATCAACAAATAATGTGATCGTACGTAGAAGTGTAAAAGAATGTATATAGATTTCTATGGTAAAAAATAATCAGGTAATAAAAGACTCAAAACATATTACAGTCTTTACATGTTCCGGATAGCGTTCATGTCGTGTCTCTTGGCAACAACGAGTTGGAAAATGTGAATATCCCATCCGGTCGCATGAAGCCAATGTCTCAGCTACAGAGCCTTTGAACCTAACTGATTGCGAGATCTAGTTCAGATGTTTTGTTACGAGCCTATATTGTTAATGCTTCAAAAGCAGATACAATGGGTCAGATACTTAATACTATGAATGGCCAGTGATGTATACAACTCGTATTTTAACCGATCATCAGTCAAAACTTAACGTTGTGTTGGCAAACGATAAGGTAAAAAACATATAGATCAAGAGATGTGTCTCGAGTTTGGTTGTCCTCATTTCTAGATTATTGGTTGTATAATACACAGCTATTGACGGATCATGGGAAAAAAGGGATAAGTTTCAGCAGAAGGTTTGCATTTTAAAGTTTCAATGGAAACTGGTTTGCATTGGATAAGTATATAAACTTATTAAACTTCTATATGATTTTGCTAAATATAAACAGATTTACAAATTTTAGGTATACGCTTCCATCTTAAAAGAGGATTACATAAATGGAAATATATATATGAATTATGACACAAGGAAGCTTTTTTTATCGGATCTGCCAAAAACTTAATACTACATTTTGTAATCGTTCCTGATGAATCTTCTTTCATTGATCGAGCACTGAACTATAGTGATAGTGTTCTTTGCATATAAAACAATATAAATTAGGGTATTTGATGTCTGCACACGACGTGAAAATCGAATTTACTACTGTACTTAACAACTAACGATCCACGGAAATGGCCAGCTATGTATTAATTAAGATAAATTAGTTTTGCTTGTCACTTAGTACACGTCTTCAGCAATGAGAGCTTCTTCGAAAGAAAAATATCTCATCGCTGGGTGCTCTGCCACATTATTTTACACCAAATGATTAATTTTAAATCAGTTTTTATAATTACATCCTAACGCCAGTACTTTAATTATTGGATCGAGAATAATTCAAACCAATAAAGTAACCGATAGTTTTTGTCCTTCTTTGACGAACCGAACAAATAGTTTCCGTTTAAAATATGATAACTTCGTAAGTACACACGTAACGAGTATTTCAAACAATTGCACCTGAATAATAATTAAAACATAACGAATTAAAATATAGATATTGCAATATATACTAGTTTTCTTGCTGGTCAAATGTAACGATTAACCACTTAGTAGTGTTTTTAAAAATAGACTTGCTTTTAAGAAAATAATAATGGTAAATTTTATAATGGGTGGATATGCCATTTACTAAATTATAATCCATAATTGAAAGAAGGATTGGTGGTACACATGGCGAAGTCTTGTTGAACAAATGTTTAATCAATTTAGACCAGCAAGCTAACCTTACCTGGCTTGGATCTATCTTTGTCTCTCATGACAATAGATAACATTATCTCTTCTTAAAAAAAAATCATTTAAATCAATTTTAAAATGAGCTTTATTATTTAAATAAATATCTTGTTATGATTACATTTCATATGCTACGATAACATGTTGCATGTTGTGAACTTGTGAGAATAATATACTGAAATAACTTTGTTTTTCAAGTAATGGAATATATTTCACTTATTGTCAATAGAAATAGTTAAAAAACTTTTGAGAAAAACACGAATATTAATCTCACTCACATGGTGCCATGGTGGTATGGTATACTTGTTGAAGATTCTTTAAATGAGTTAGGCTAGGGTCTGGATTTTCGGTTTTCGTGATTGGTTTGTCGTCGATGTTTTATGTAGCATGTATTAGGAAATATTCTTATACAAAAAAAAAGAATAATAATATCAAAAATGGAAATAAATAAAAAAATCTTATATCCCAAACAACAGGTAGAGTTTTCGAGAAAAATAAAATCAAATATAATGTAACTGACAACTGTTTTAGCCTTTCAGGCAAATCCCAACTCTGACAAAACTCATGTACAGTTTCCTCACATACAAGTAGCGATGTTCCGAAGTTAACAAAAACATATTACCAAAATTAGGAAACATTCGAAATGGACAATAAAGGAAAACCATTCTTAAAGAAATATATACTGAAAGTATAAATAAATGGGATTAGCATCTAATACGCACATAAGTTCCGTTGGTGTCGGAAGCGACATGTGTTACCCAATTAAAGGAGCCTCCCTCCAACATTGGATGTTGAATCTTAAGCTTATCATACGCATGCAATTGATTAAATATACAACCTGCCGACTAAATCTATTAGTATAATATTATAACTGAAAATTATGAATTGATGAACATATCAAAGACTTAGTGGGACATTCGAATCGATCTTACACCAAATCTATTTGAAAGAATAAAATCAAAATCAAGAAATGTCACCACTAAATTCACTTATTCGTTCTTAGTAGAAGTATTCACAGTCGACGGACTTCTCCTTCCCTCTCGCTCTCCTTTCCTTAAAAATAAATTACTTCATCAAAATACTCGTTTTAATTTATGGATATGTTTAAATCGTGGCAGCATCAATTAATCAGTTGAAGTAAGCAGGTAATTATTGTATAGTATAGACATATATAATTTAGATTATTTTTGGTTGG